AAACACAACAAAGAAAGAATACAAATGAAAAACTAAATGCTCAGATTGAAATAAATAATGCATTGTTGTTTGTTAAAATTTCTTCGTTTTTTTTTATTGTTTATTGAAACATTGAATTGAAAACACTAGTAAATGGTGGTATTATACGTTTACGACAGTCACCAATACTTGATTGATGAAGTGAAAGTACACATAGTCCATAATAATGAACACATGCGGCAGCTACAACAAATACGTGAAAAATTTGATGACTTTGAAACTAAAAGAAAAAAAACCGTCGCAAAATCAACAAAATCAAAAGAAAAATACTATTTACCCATATATCAAAATAACCAGGAGCTAGTCGTTCAGGTATACGAGCTATGTTAAATGAAAATCGAATATATACAGTCTCGTGAAAAATTATAGAATCACCTGTTCGATTCTAGTCGTTTGCGCGTTCTCTGCCAGTTTAGACTTCTAACTATGAAATCAGATTTGTCAATACTACTAATAAATTTGAGAAAACAAATATTTGCTGAAATCAGTTAGATTTTGTCTATGAAAAATTATAAAGTCAATGTTGTAGTTTCGTTGTTTTAGCATCAAAATAACTTCAGCTTTGCTTGAAAGTCACATATACAGATAGAGAAATTCCTGTTGAATATTTTCATATAAAAAAGTTTGAAAAATCGTCTACATTTGAATTTAAAATAAGATATTATGGAACAAGCTAAAATTACTTGGAAACATTATCAAAGTTTAGTAATTTAACATAGATATTTGAAACACACACAGAATTAGAGTCCACCTGGTTGATTCCGAACTTGATGGGATTCGGATCCGAAAATTTTGAATCCAACGTACTCTACACAGAATTGGTTTTTTGACAGTAGATGCGAATAACAGACACTCTTTCAGTAAAACGAGAAGCTTTAGAACTTGGTATATCATTTTGTTACAGAGAGATATATGATGTCAAACAGATACTGCTCGTATGTATGGAAAAAAACATAAAAAAACAGCGTAAAATCCTCGCATATGATTGTTGTCAATTTTGGCGCCATGTGTTTCTCTTCAACAACATGATGTGCCGAGTTTCCGCGCTTCTCGTTTTTGTCGCGAAAAGTGTTTACTATTCGTATCTGTTGTTGAAAAAATCAATCCTGCGTTTGTTTCAAATATTCTTGCTAAAATACTGAACTTAGATGATATTTCCAAGTCATTTCAACTTGGTCAATGATATCATATTTTTAAATTCAAATATAAACAATTTCTTAAACTTTTTTATATAAAAATGTTCAACAGGCATTTCTCTATATGTATATGTGATTTTCAAGCAAAGCTGAAGTTATTTTGATGAAAAGACAAGGAAACTATGATATTGATTTTTTACTTTTTCATAAACAAAAACTGGCCTATTTCAGCAAATATTTGTTTTGCTAAACGTAATAGTAACATTGATGAATCTGATTTCATAGTTGGATAGAGCATTCTTGAACATATATAGTCGCATAGACTTTGCTTCTTTCGGAAGTCTAAACTAACAGAGAACGAGCAAATAATTGGAATCGAACATGTAATTCTATAATTTTTCACAGTACTGTAGATTAATGTCATTAACTTACCAGCATAAAGAGAAGCGCCAGATATATATAAGACGGCCATAACGACTAACCATTGAGCAGCACCAGCTAAAATATTTAAATAATAAAACATGAAATAATAAAATAAAACTTATTCAATATTTTATTTGATATTGAAAAAAATTTCATAATATTATTCATAGTAAACTTACTAAATTCATTTTTATAATTCTTAAATAAAGTTTTTGTTTTTAAATAGGTTTTTTTTACATACTTGTGAATGCGTGTTTAAAACCAAATAATAATACATAATGACAAGTTGGAATAAAACCAAAAAGACCAAATGCTATGAAAAGAACTATAGAAATAAAAAAGGATAAAGAATCTGTTTTTGTTTTGTTTTGTTTTGTTTGTATATAAAACATACGTGCTCGACATGTGCGATATTCTGGTGCAGCAAATTTATCCCACATTGAAACAATAATACACCCAGTACCTAATAAAGTAGTTATTAATAAATAAGCTACTTTCGTTCCAAATTCACAATAGAATCCATAATAAAGCCATGGAATGAATGAAGAAACAATTAATATTGATATACCACAATAATCAAGTCTAAAATTATGTTTTTATATTTATTAATAATAGAAAATAGAAATCCAAGCTTTTATGTTTGTTTTTTTTTCTTACTTATTAAAAATTTTCGAAATTTTTGGTGAATGACAAGAAAGTGTATGATATAATGTTGAAAATAATAAACAAAGAATAGCTCCAAGAAAAAATGCACTAAAAGTTAACTTTTTTTCAATATGAACTTCACTTGATGGTCGGGAAATATAATAAATAGTAATTATTATAAAAAATAATGTACCCAATAAATGTGTCCATATATTAACTGTTTCTGTATGAAGACGAAAAATTGATGCAAAACATTCTTTAAAACTTGGCATTGGTGGACGATGTCCTGATATAAGAAATTCATTATCAAGTAACCATTGTGGAAGATGACTATGATCAACAACATATTGAACAACACGTTTACCAACTTCTTTTGCTTGTTCAACACATTTTGTTGGAACTTCAAGTACTGTATCAATTAAATCATCACCATTTTCATCAACTGATTCTGTTTTCAATGGATTAGATTTACTTCGTAAATAAGATGATTTTGTACCATTATCACCAGTAGATTCACTCTAACAATAAAAATTATTTCTCAATTGTTATATTTACATAGAACACTACAAAAGTTTTTTCGTTGATTCTTTCTAAAATTTGTATGTTGAAATCAAATATCCTTATATAATACATATATATCAGTGGTATGCACAGCATCTAAAGAGCGAGACGGGGATGACGCAAACGACCACAGTGATGTGGTCACGTCCTCAAGCAATCGCTCGACGGTCGCATCCAAGAGTAACTAAAAAATATTTTCTCGTGTTAATATTTCTAAAGAAAAAATAGTGCTTCATTTCTGAACAATTATCCAAGAACAACACCATAAAGTTGAAAACGCTACGAATGAATATTTAATTAGACAAGATGTAACCAAGCATATATATATATATATATATATTTATAGGATGTTCGTTTCTATCTTAACTTATTTTGTAGTTAGATTTGCACAAATTTAAGTTTTAGGTAAATTTAAATATTATGCTGATCTCAATGAATGTCACTAAGTTTTTAGTTAGGTCAATTTTTTTATCAGGATAATTGTTAATCAATATTGATTACAATTTAATCTATGAGTTTAATAAATGGGTATGAAATGGAATAATAAAAAAATGGCATCTCAAAAAGAATAAGTTTGTCAACGATGAAATTCCTTGTTTTAACTTTTCAGCATTTGATGAACATTTGTTTTAAAATTCCTAGCAATAGAGTTTAACAATTAGTATGATTAAAGTGAGGCTGGCCGATGGACAATTAAGAAGAGAGTAGAGACGATGCGACCCTACAAAATGAATCATACTTGTTGTTATGGCGTGAACTTCAAAATCTCATTTTTCACTATGAAAATGCATGACCATGGATATGCTAGGCTCTCAAGGAATTTTCTGTCTAAACTTATATGGAGGTATATTTTTTATCGTTAATATAGTTTCGAAGTGTCCTCTATTAAATGTTATATAAATAAGAGCTCGTCGTTGTTCATCAATACTTGTATTAAACCCAAATCTCGAAATCTCAAGCAGAAAAACTCGTGCTACGATTATTCTTTGTATGCAAAATTCTCCTAATGGTAATCTCTAACGATACTGAGATTATGAGTCATGCATCTGTAACATAGCCAGTTTTCAATCACTTTAGTTGGTAAAAACGAAGTCCTGATCTATTCAAGAAAATTTGTTTTTCTTGAAATCAATTTTTATACAAAAAAAAATGTAGAATCGCTCGTCATTTCTCCGAGGTATTACGTTCGATCGAGCTGAAACTTTCTTACAACTATTGAGCACGGTTCGGGGTAGCTATTTTTTTTTTTGTTTTCAAAAATATTACACCATTAATTTTTGGAGATACGCTCAGTATTTGGATCTTTTTATTCGAATGGAAGAAAGTTAAAAGCAGTAGGCATCCCAAACAGTGTCTAGTATCTATAAAAAAAGTTCCAGGTCTAACGGATGTATTGCGGCTGAGAAAACGGGACTATTTGCAACCTTTACGATCCAGATATTCTCTAGAATGAAGTATTTGGGTATTTGGAATCTATGACAACTTTTGTTCTACTCATCGACATCTATCTATCCTGAAAGTTTCCAATATTTCTAATGTGTCGTTTTTCTGAAACCTCGGAAATAGGGGAAGGAGTTCTGTTAAGCAACTATTAACAATCTCTCAAAACATTATCTCAAACTCTACCTCCATGATATTTTTCTCGAAAGAGCTAGCAAAAAAACCTTTACAGTGTTCTTTATAATAAATCTTCATCTTACTAGAGTTCGATGAGGTAATCGTTGTCGAATGTCTTGTTTATTAGTAGATACTTCGTTTTCCATGAATGTTTACGATTGGAATAATATACAAAGAAATTATCTACAAAAAAACAAATAAATATTAAATTTATAATTCTACTTGTTTCTAGTATCTTTCATTTTTAAACATTGAATTAGATCGATAGATTAGAAAAAAAGTGGAATATATTTTTGAAATAAAAAAAGAAAAGAATTAAAATCTTTCTTCAAATTTACATCAAAATGCATATAAATAAATGAAAATCAAAAAAAGTTTATTAAACTTTGTTTTTCAATAAGAACTGAAAAAAGTTTACAAAAAATTTGTGCTTAGAAAACACGAAATTAGAAATAATACAAATGTGCTGGAATATACAAAAAAAAAAAACGTACAACATATACAATATAGATATAGTATATACCTACAAAGCTAAGGAAGAAAACTTCATAAATATATCATATGTTAATTTTAATTTCATTAACTGATTATTGAAGCTATCGGAACAGTATTTGAACTTAAAATATTTCGACAGTCACCAAAAACAGTTGTTTGATTATGTGATAATACACATATACCATAATAATGAACACAAGCTGCAACCACAACAAATACGTGGAAGAGTTGATGACTTTGAAACTTCGAATTAAAAAAACAACAACACAAAATTATCAACGAATAACACACAAAAAAAATTTTTTTTTTTTCTTTTTTTTACCCAAATATCAAAAAGGCCAGGAGCTAATCGTTCAGGTATTCGTGCTGCATATAAAAAAAAACAAAATTAATGAATAAAATTCTAGTTTTATTTACCAGCATAAAGACAAGCACCAATCAAATAAAGTGCAGCAACTAACAGCAAATATTGTATAGCACCCACTAAAAATGTAAAATAAACTTACTCAATTTAGTTATAAAATAAATGCTATAGACTCGAAATCCGAATAACCTTGTTGATACGCACTCGTATAAATATGAGCGTGCTGCATCATATGATACCTCAATTTTCTTTCTTCCTATTATCAGTTAAAAAACTAACTATGTTCGGGTCAAATTATCACTCTCATCGCTAAAATACTAAATTTAAAATATTAGCTGCTGATCGCTGTCTTAGAGGGAATTATTCAGCACGTGAAATTGTGTTCTATCATTTTCAAGGTACTGAATAATTTCCTATAAGACAGCGATCAGCACCTAATATTTTAAATTTAGTACTTTAGTGATAAGGGTGGTCATTCAGTCCAAACATGGTTAGGTTTTTAACTCACAATAGAAAGAACGAAAATCGGGATATCATATGATACAGCACGCCCATATGTATATGTAGTGCGTAATATCTTGTGACACAGAACGATTAATCATCATACCTTTAAAAGCATGTTCAACCCCAAACTGAATCATATAATGACAACTTGGAATAAAGCCAAATACACCAAAGGTAATAAAAAGTACTAAAAAACTTCTCATAAAAAATTTCTTTTCTTGTTCTTAAATAACTTACAGGCTCGATAAATTCGATAGTGAGCTGAAGAAAATTTATCCCACATTGAAACAACTATACATCCAATGCCTAATACACCAATGAATGTTAAATAAGCCACTTTTGTGCCAAATTCACAATAAAATTGATAGTAAAGTAATGGAATAATTGATCCAATAATTAAAAATGCTATTCCACAATAATCAAGTCTAAATATCAATAATCAATAGTGCTAAAATTATAAATATTTTCTTTTATCATACTTGCTGAAAAATTTCGAAATTTTTGGTGAATGACAATAAAGTGTATGATATAATGTCGAACATAATAAACAAAGAATAGCTCCAAGAAAAAATGCACCAAAAATTAATTTTTTTTCAATATGAACTTCACTTGATGGTCGAGAAATAAAATAAATAGCAGTTATAATAAAAAATAATGTACCCAATAAATGTGTCCATATATTAACTGTTTCTGTATGAAGACGAAAAATTGATGCAAAACATTTTTTAAAACTTGGCATTGGTGGACGATGTCCTGATATAAGAAATTCATTATCAAGTAACCATTGCGGAAGATGACTATGATCAACAACATATTGAACAACACGTTTACCAACTTCTTTTGCTTGTTCAACACATTTTGTTGGAACTTCAAGTACTGTATCAATTAAATCATCAGCTTGATCATATAAATTACTGGCAGATAGATGACGCTGATAATTATTGGGTTCTGGATCAATACTGAATGATGGTTCACTCTAGAAATAAAGTTTAGTTTTTTTTAAGTTTGTTATAATCAAATTAATTATTTATACATTATAATAGATAGGTATTACTATCAATGGCTTATTATCTCGTGTTAGATAAGTCAAGAATTAGCATTCTATGTCAAAGGAAAAACTTTAAAAAAAAAGCAGATATATAATATTTGCTATCACTCATTAGATTAATATTAATGAAAGGTCATGATCGACGATAAGCAACAAACAAGGATATTTTCTTATAGAAGTCCAATTCTTATATTGAGAATAAAAGAGAAATTTAATTCTTAGATTATTACAAAATCATAGATATTAATATCATTGATGAACCTAGAATTTGTTTTAAATGAAATTTAGAATATAGTTCTATTAAAATTTTTGATAATTTTAATAGTTCATTATTATTGTTTCTTACCCGTGGACGAGTTAATAATCTTTGTCGAATTGTTTGTTCATTTAAATCTCGATCATTCACTGGAATTATATCTGATAATAATTGATCTTTAATTTTTTTATATGAACAATCCATTCAAATAAATATCTGAAATAATTATAGAATATTCATATATTCAAACATTTAATCAATTTAAAAAAAATATCTATGAACAACATTAAATACATAGACTAAGAAAAAAAGAAAAAAAAAGAAATCTCAAGATTATATTTATATGGACACAATAAGGAAAAAAACGAACAAAATACTACTGTTGAGGTTGTAATGGATAACCATTCATAATTGATCCATTTTTTGAAGGTCTTAACAATGGATGATGTGAATAAACATTTGCTCCTTGTTGTTTTGGATCAACAATTGGTTGAGGTAAAAATTGTAATGGATTTAAATAATCTATAAAAAACACAAAAGATTTTTTTTTTCTTTTAGTTGTTTTTTCTTTCCAGTTGACATACTCGGCATTTGTGATGATGGTCGAACACGTGGTATTGGACTTGGATATGAAGCTGATGGACCAGGAGCAGCTGATGATGATGTCATATAACCGAGATAAGCTGAAAATGCTGATTGACTTTGTGGTGATGGAAAATTAGGTGCACTATTACGAACTACTGATTGAGATGATGAAGATGAATATGTTGAATTTGGACTTAATGGTCCTAAATAAAATTTTTCTTTTTTTGTTTTTAATTAAAAGAAAAATTTTTTTACTTGTATGCATTGGAGGTCCAAGACTTGGACGTGATGATTTATTTGATGGTGAAGAATAAATGTGAGATGATGATGGGCTACGTGGTCGTTTTGAACTAATATTTGTTGACGTTGTTGTTGGAATAAATGATGGTGGTTGAGATGGTTGAGGTGGTGGAGGTTTATATGCTAATAAACGATGAGATTGTTGAGCTGATAAATAATGTTGAGGATGATGAGCATATTGTGCCATTTGAAGATCTTTAAAACAAGGAAAAAAAACAAAGATTTTTTTTTGTTAAGTTTATTTTAATAATAAAATTGGATTTTTCTCTTTTTAATTTTACTTGGTGAATAAAGACTTGACCATGATGGTTCTTTTGTTACAGTTTGTTGAGAATGTTTTCGTCGATCTTCTTCAGTTAATGCACGTCTTAATAAATTATACTGTTCAATTTTTTGTTGTTCTAAATCAGCTAATGTTCGTTGTAATTCAAGAATATCTTTCGCATTATCTTCTAATTGAACTTTTGATGATGATAATGCTTTAGCCTAAAAAAAAGAATTCATATAAATATTGAAATTTCTTAATATAAATAGAATTTTAATCTTTAATTTACTTCTTGATATGTACGAAAAACAGTTTAACTATTATTGGAACATTTTAGACTTATTCATAGAAACTACTTCATGTTACACGTTTTTTCGCACTACCGCGATACCTACGAATGTCAATGGTAAATTGACCTTAGATTGTCAGTTGGAGAACAACTGCTGGCATACCGCGGTAGAATAATCAACTGCTTAAGTATCAAACTACCGTCGACTGATTGTCTGATTCGAATAGCATGAGTATCTATTGAGAGTAATGAAACATCGGATCGAGACAGTTCTCGAATATTGTATAGAGTCTTCAATAAGTTATAATTTTGTAAAAAAAAAAATTAAACTTCTTTTCATCAGTCCTTGGTTTAGGAGTTTGAAGGCGTTCTTTTTTCTATTTGGTTACTTACGTACGCTGATTATTCTGATGTTTGTCAGGTTGTCACAACATGAATCACTTCTGACTCATTCATAATGAGTCATATGAAAAATTGTTGTTCTATAGATATTTTACTTTCGATAGGAGTTTTTAAATATACATGAAAACTTTATGGATCCTAATATCCAGTTAAAAAGTATTTTACGATCGCTTTTAAATAATTTCTTATCAATAGGAGATAAAAAGCTATAGTTTTTACTTTCTTACCTTTCACCTGGCTAAGACCCTAACACTATGAATCAGAATTTATAAAAATAGAATGAAAACTAACGATATTGATACGATTCAGTAAATGAACGAACTGATATTTAACCCAAAAATAACCACCTTTGTCAGTATCTTATCATATATTATTTCCTGAAATGACTCATTTTTCCAAAACTAATTCATAATAAATAGGTTTCTAGCTTTATACAGATAAAATAACAACATAACTACGAAAAAAAAAGTCAAAATAACACTAAATACAATTTTTATATGATAAAAAACGAATGGGGCATGTATGGTCCATTCTAAATCTTCACAGTGAAATAACTTCGCTCAAATTTAACCATATCAATGTCATAATCAGCGTCTGTATAATCCACATAATTCAAACTAGACAAAAACTAACGGTAGTTTGATAGGTAAACGGTTGATTATTCTACTGCAATATACTGATAGTTGTGATATTTATGGTTACCAGGATGTACTGTTGGCAGTGTAAACAAACGTGCAACATGGAAAGCTATTCTCGTGCTTGACTCAACTTCAACTCTAATGAATTAGTGCCATGAGGATAAAACATTAATCACTCTCATTTCTTACTAAACCTTTAGCCGATATCTCACATTAAACTTTCGCGAATATTTGAAGTTATAAAAATTCTACTTTTATTCCAGATATTTGATAAACATTTGAAAAAAGAAGAAACTCTTTATAAGAAAAAACAATACCTTTTCTGCACGTCTTCTTCGTTTATCAGCTTCATTGGCATCTGCTTCTTCTTTTTTTTTTTGTCGTTCACGTAGAATATGTCGTTTTAATGCATCACGCATTTCTCTTGATAATCTTGGACGTTCAATATTTACAGCAGGCATCTGTTTTGTTTTTTGTTTCTTGTCAAATAATCTGAAAAATAATAAATATGTTTTTTTCTCGCGATATCTGGCTTTTCGTACGAAAAAGCAGCAAAAAAAAAGGGAAAAAAATCACACGTAAAAACAAATTATGTCAACAAAAAAATAGTAATAATAATAGTAATAATAATAATAATAATAAATAAAAACAGGTGAGTACAATTGTTCGTTTTCTTTTTTCTTTACGTATGATTATATCAAAAATTTGGAAGCATACATAAACACAGGATTCAATCAACGGAAAGCGAGTAATAAATTATGAAAATAATCATAAACTTGTGGTACAATGGCACCAATACTCGAATCAATTAAATCTTTTAAATAACTTATGGCTTTTTCATCATCAAGATCAAGACGAAATTTATCAAGTAACTAAAAAAATAAAATAAAAAACAAAATATTTTATTTTTTAATGACAAGTTTTTTTTTCTTTCGTTATCCAATTACTTTTTTAACTGTTTTATCACGTTCTAATGCTATATCGGGTATGTTAGCATCAAGCATAAGTGAAAATAAATTAGCAAATACATTTGCATGTCTATAAATAAATTAAATAAATTTAAAATTGATATAAAATAATAAAAAAAAAAAGAAACAACTAATATTTACTTTCGAAGAATAATAAAAGCTGTAAAACAATGACGTAAAAAGTCAAGAAATCGTTCGTCATCTAACATTTCCATCATATCTTTTGAAACACGCATTGCTTGTGGTAATGGTTTTGGATCACGACCCATTATAAAACCAAAATCAATATGAAATAATTGACCAGAATCTCGTAATAATAAATTATCTAGATGTCGATCTCCTATACCTAATAGATACGTCACTACACAGTATCCGGCTGAAGAAAAACAAAAAATTCTATTTATCAAAATAATAGAAAAATATAAATTAACTAACCACAACTTTTAACATAAGCATCCATAACATCATGAGGAATACCAATTTCATTCTGAGTTGTATCATCACTATTTGTAATTGGTGCTTTACTTTGTAGATATTGTCGAATAGTACGATTACGTTCAAGTACTTTTCGTAATGGTTGAGAATCGATAAATTGTACGAAACCTTCAATTAAATATATGTTAATAAGGCTTTTGCTCTATGTTCCTCGTAGTACTCTCTTATCTTCATCTTATCACAATAAAAACGCTATGTATATAAATATTTGTGATACGAAGTCATAAGTTATCGTACGATTTTTAAAGAATTTTCAAGGTCTGGAGAAGAAAAGGAAGATCTTTATCTTTCTACAGGATCTATTTTTAGCGTCATATTAAATCAACATAGTAATTCTTCATTAAAAATATAACTTATTTTACAGTGTTGATCATCTATGAATATTATCTTATTAATTACTCAATGTAATATTTTTACCATACGTCGATTAGCTAGGTGATTGTTGAAAATTATTCATAATGAAAAAAAAAAGCACATGCACTTAAGAATCATCGATTTTGCTTATGCTTGATAAATGAAACTAACCAATCAAATATTAAAAAAAAAGTTCTAAGACAAAATTGATTATACTCTATAAAATCTTTATTTGCTATGCAAATAAATTTTTTGAATTTATTAAAATACAAAATAATATTTACCATATTTTAAACCTGTTGATAAAACTTTATATGGTGTTAATTTTAAATCAATATTTTCTTTTCGTAGAATCTAAAAAAAGAATCAAATAGAAAACAAATTAATTATATCTATATCATTGAAAATTGTTTATTAATTCAAATGCGAAATTATCTAAGTCAATATTTAATCAACACAAACAGATGAAGATTCTTTTCTTATAACAAAATAATTTTATATTTAAATTAAAATGAAACAAATATATTTATTTATTTATCTTACTCGATCCATTAACATAATTATTTGTAATATAAGTTGATCTTGTCGAAGATCATCTCCATTTTTAAATATAAATGGATATTCTGTACCATCTAATGCTTCACAAACGAATAGAAATGGTAATTTAGCACTCTAAAAATTAATATAGAGATTATGTTTGATTTTTTTTATAGAATGAAAAATAATTACTTTGAATATTTTAATTTTATCAGGATTAATTCGTCGAATTTTAGTTTCAGGATCAAGTGGTAAAGGTATTGGATCAAAATTAAGAAAATTAAATTTAACTGGTGAATCATCACCAGCTAATAACAAACTACGAAGTTTATCTTCCTAAAATATGTATTAAATAATAATATAAATATTACTTTCTTTTTTTTTTTCATTTAATTAAACTAACTTTAAATTTAGCTGAACCTTGTATACGTTTAACAATATTTGTTAATTCAACAAGTTTATCAACAAATTTTTTTTGTGCTTCTATTGATAAACGTACTTGTTGAGTTTGTTCATTTACCTATATTCAATTGAAAAATTATTTATAAATATAAAGTTATAAAAATAAATCGCTCGAAAATTTTGAAACAAAATATTCTTTCTTATGTTCAATCAATTAGAAAGACTAGTTGAATTTTTGAGTCAGAATCAAAATTCTGTTTTCTTTCAGAATTTTTATCAATAATCAGAGTTTTGACAAGAGATGCAATAATATTTTCCACATCTGTTTTCATTTTCAAATTATTCAAAGATTCTTTCATAATTTCTACTAATATTCTCAATCAAAATGAAAGAATATTTTATCTCAAAACTTTTTATGTTTGACCATTAAATTAAATTACCGTTTTAAGTGTCATACTAAGTCGTTTAACAAATGCTTGAAATATATCACTAATAGCTTTATCTTTTGCTGAACTATTATTTTCACATTCAACATAAGCATACCTATATTTTATAGGAAATTAATGATTAAATAAAAGAACAAAAAAAGAAAACTCAATGACAAACCAAAATAAATAATTTGCTATGACCGGTTTTTCACATGCACGTTGAATAAGAAATGTTGATAAATCAACCTACAATATGAATGATTTTATTTTATTTTTTTAATTTTAAGTCAATTAAAATATTGAATATACTTCTGATGAAGAAGTTTTTGTTGGATCACTGCATGTTGAATCTGATTGTCCAATAGCATTAGCAAAATTTTCATAAGTATCATTGGAACTATAAAATAAAGATTTTAATAAAATTAGTTTATTTGTTTGTTTTTTTTGTTTCGAAAATTTTATAATAACGAACTTAGTTTGTTCATCTGTTACAGAATCCATCATAGAAATATTATTTAAATCATAACGTTCATATCGAAGAGCTTGTACTAATTGTAAAAGATATAGAAGAAGATCCTAAATAAAATAATTTTTTTTTTTTAAATATAGAATACAAAAACAATATTAACAATGAAAAATTTTTTTTACTTCATCTGGTGCTTGTCGCAGTCTTGATACTGCATATGAACGAACTTTTGGATGATGATAAGTAGGACCAAGTAATTCAAGTGCATCTTCTGTATCCATAGTAACCCATTGTTCTAATAAATTTAATGCTTGTTTAACTTCTTCTTCTTTATCCCAATGAACACATTGAAGAAATTTAGCAAGTGCTTTTTTATGTTGTGATAAAAAAAATCTATATTTCCATACTAAATCTTGTTCATCATCACCAAGATATTGTCCCGGTGGATAAGCTAATATTTGCATAAGTTTATCTCGTTGTTCAATAGTCGGCTTTAAATCTTTATCTAATGCTTTACGGGCACTACGTGATAATTTTAGATGTTTACTTTCAACAATATTTTCCTATGAATTAAAAAAAAATATATATATATAAGAGAATTTCATTAGATCAATTTACAAGGTCAAGTTCAGGATCATAAACAACAAGGTCAGTATAACCAATTGGATAATTGAGTACATCATTACATGTCTAATTTATAAATATATAATGAAATTAAAAAAAAGGAAAGAAAAGGAATTCGTTTTAAATACCGGTTCAAAATAGAGTACAATACATTCATTATTATTAATCGTTGTTCGTGCAAATTCAATCATTAATAACATTGATTTTGAATTTGAACGTTCTTTATCTAAACATGTTCGTGTTTTAGCCAATGTTAATTGATCAAGCCATTCTTGATTTATTGTATGACCATCACATTGTGTTTTGATTAACTAAAAATAAAAATCAATAAAGAAAAAAACAAACAAACTATCGATTTGAATTTCTTCTTACTTTTGCCATTCGACTTAATTCATCCAACATTGGATATGCACTATCATCATTCCATGTAATATTCAAAGGTTTAGATGTTATCTGTTTGCGATTATATTGAAGATTAGCTGTTGTTATAGTTGGTACTGAAGCTACTGGTTTTATCTTTTGATTAGTATGATTACTAAGAATTTGTTCATGATTTGATATAGGTTCAATTTTTCCAGGTGTTGAAGAATTAAATTTAACATCTGGTGGTACATTTGGCCAAACTTTTAAATCATAAATTCCTTGTCGAAATGTTCTAAAATTCAAAATTATAAATTTTAATAGATATTTTACAAAATTTTACCCATCAGAATCAAACAATGATATTGTTGTACTTCCAATAATACGAACTTGTGTTGGTGAAATTATTTCATGAATTGATAATGCAAGTATTGCATGTCGTGGTAAATCACAATATCTTAATGGTAATGTTAACCATTCATTCCAACTTAATAAAAGATAAGAAGAAAACAAAAAATTTTATTTTTGATTTAAAAATAAATCATTATTTTTCTTACTTCCATTTATCAGTAAATGATTTAAATGATGTTTGAACAGGCATACAAAGTGATTGTCCATCCGAAAAAATTTGACAAAGAACATAAGGTTCACTACGTTTTGTATCACTTAAATTACGTATAAATGATGAATTATTAGAAAAGAATATATCATTAATAGGTTGCTGTGATTGTTGTTGCTGTTGTTGTTGCGTCCGTTCACCATCAACGGAAGCACTGTCAAAATATTAATGAAAATCAATAGAAAAGACAATTTTTTTGAAAAATGTAAAAATAAATTCTATTACATTTTTATTTGAATACGATCTTCAAGTTCATGACTAAAAATAAAATGAAATTTTTCTGATGCCGCTGACATTTGATTTGACTAGATCATTTAGAACACTATAAAAAATACATTCGGAATGTGGATTAGGTTTTTTTTTACGTAAAAAGAAATAGAAATAGAAGCGTAAATCAATGGTTTATGAGATATCACCACATGACATGGCATTTCATTGATTGTAGCGATATTTGTATGAAAAAAAACATTTATATTGGTTAATTTTTTACAACCAATTATTGAGATTGTTTATAGAGAGTTTTGAAAATACAAAAAAAATTCGATCAATTTAAAAAATAAATGAAACTTTTATGAATGATTTTTTCAGTTGGTTAATAAGAAACAAATATGACACAAATGTTCCTATGAGAAGATCAATACTTCTGTAAAACGAATTCATTTTCAAAGAGCTGATGAGCAACATTAGATATTACAGCAAGGCCGGGCTCCGGTAGTATTTCTAATACTGAGTACCTATAACAAAAGCAAAGTACCGTGATGGTATTCTGCAAATTAGAAAAAGCATTTTGCTTATTTGTTGCGACATTATTGAAAAGTTGTTTGTCTTCTTTTTATTTCTATCATATTTATGATTGAAATTTTTCTTTTCCTTATTTAGATTTCTACTATTGTTTCTTATACATATTTTCTTCATTAGTTTTTTTTTTCGGACGTATTAAATTAGGAATTTCAATGAAAGGTAACTACATGAACTTGCGACGAATGTATTAACATGTACGAACAAGAGAAATTATACTTTTAAAATTTTCTATTTGCATATGCTAATAAAACTTAATTCAGAGAAGTATTTCTTAAACTTAGTCAGATGAATATGTGTGTACATATTTTTTCATAATAAGATACGATTAGTAATACGTTTGCTTTTGTCTTTATTGATCAGTTCTTGGTTATGGTATTTTGATGTATTTTGTCAATAAAAATGAAACACCTATTCATGTATGGTTTCAGATTTCTATTGGAAACCTTGTAGAATAATATAACTACGATATATAACAATCCATCAATAAACAATATTTGTCAAGATTAAATTGACTCGAAAGAAGGCTATATTTATGAAGCCATTTTTTGTAGATAATTGATGACATTGAAAAAAAGAATAAGAAAAAAACCGATCATTCATACAAATAATGTTCTATCAACGATATCTGTCAATCTTATTCTTATTTAACAAGGTAATTTAATTCTATTTATTCTAGATGTCATTATTAAATATTTTGTCAATACTATTGATATCGTCCTTGTACTATAATGTTCATCTAGTAGACGCGCGACGTGTAAGTGTACTAATTTGAAAAATAAAATGTCTGTTTGCCGCCTTAATGCCGAAAATCCTGTACTTCGTGCACCATTGCTTTTTATACTCATTATTACTTTTCTTTGTTTCTTGATATTCATTCTTCATGATTCTTTAACACGGGTACTGGCATTGTTTCATGAATTTTTGTTTGTAATTAAATCAGTTTCTTTTTGTTTTGAAATTTTTTCATTTTAGGTTAAACATGGTGTACGTGAAATCGGTGCTAAACAATATCAATGTTTTTCAACACTATCAGATGATTCTGAAGATTTTCGTGTGAATTTACTTCGACCTTTATTAATTGAACGAGTATCAGGTACACAAGGCAATGTAAAAGCTAGACAATTTATTATATCAAAATTACGATCGCTTGATATGTGGCATATTGAACTTGATACATTCGATGAAATGACACCCGTAAAATTCAAAATTTCTTTTTAATGCAGTGCGAAGCACAACACTTCTATAGTCGATCGCGTATGCATTTAGTCTCCATACTCTATGTGTTTTTCGTTGTAAACAAAATTCGTATTTTGTGTCTCAATTATTCTGAGAACGACGAGTCGTTAGAAACTCGTTCGAAATTTGTCAGAGAGATGATTTGGCCTCCATCTTTTATTCGAGATAATCAAAAGTGGTGAGCTAGTCTCTAGATAAGTAGGAACGACAGTGAAACCCTCTGACAGAACAAGATCGATTTTCGATGAAATCGTTCTTATGTGAATTCAAACTTCATAGCCGAAATTTGAGATCGTTTCGCACCTCATTTATGCATTATCATTTTTCGGTTGCGATGACCTCAAGAACGAAAAGTCAAAAATTAGTGATTCAAACATGAGGGCAAAATTTTTTTATCCCATCTATACAATTCGCTTTCCAATTTTCAATAAGATTTTTAGAGAAATTCGCTCAAAAAAGCAAATTTTTGTAGACTTACATTAGGTTCGAGATAATTAAAATAATAACAAACTGATTTTATTTATCAAAGCTGTATGAACAGCCGATAATAAATAATGAATCGTATAGATCATTAAGCGATAAATCCACAGGAGCCTCTAAAAACATATTAATAGAGTTTTTGTAGTAATAAATTTTGTCATGTCAACTTTACCATTCCTTTTATACTTCGGTCACTTGATTGATCGAAACGTAGATAATTCATTTAATCATCGAAATGATTCTTCCCTTTTTTTAAAATGAGATATCAATTTTTCCGATGATCGTCATTCGTTGCTTCGCACCGCATTTCATAGCCGAGTAAAACTTGAATGTCATCTATTTATTTATTTTTAATTTTAGGATGGTAATGTTGAATTTACAAATATAGTAGCCACACTTGATCCAACAGCAACTCGTCGTCTTGTTCTTGCCTGTCATTATGATTCAAAAAAAATTCGAAATTTTATTGGTGCTATAGATAGTGCCGTACCATGTGCTATGTTACTTGATTTAGCAATTAATCTTCAAAACAAATTGAACGATTTAAAAAAAAATGTAAGATAAAACGAAAGAAAAAAAAACTCTGATCTTTTTTTGTGATTTGTATTTTATTAGAAAGGAAATCCAACGTTACAATTGATTTTTTTCGATGGTGAAGAAGCTGTTAGAGACTGGACATCAAGTGATTCACTTTATGGGTCAAGGTAATAGAGATTCAGATTTAATTTGTATAACAAATATTTATTAGAAAGATAATATCTAAAAGCATGAAAAATATGCTTTACTGATTGTGCATCTGAGAATTCTCGAAGAAGCTTCATTATAACCAATTGCTTTTTTTTGTTTGAAATAACATGTGAACCTGCAGAACCTGTGTTTTGCATTAAGCCTTTTTTTTTATTATTATATAAAAGAGCACTTCTATAAATAGATGACTATTTTTTGAGGTGTGGAACTTGTCATCTTTTCTCTCCGCATAAAAAGTAAGAATTTAAAAAAAAGAAGCACTTCAGTCTGACATTCTCTTTCAAATAAGAAAAGAATAAATCTATAAAATGAAGGGCGATAAAGAATTTTGAGTTGCCAAATGAACTACTGTTGACTCTTGTTTGTTGAATATCTCTCGAAAATATTATGATATAGGGCTGAAAATTTTAGCATAACTTCTTCAGTATAGCTCCAACATATTCTGAAAATGTTATGTAATTTGAATGAATTTGATCCAAGGTCAATTTTTGAGGATGAAGAGCCTTAAGTACTGAATATTTTCTCTAGGAAAAATAGTTTTATAACTAAATTGTTTACTAGAAAAATCTCGGAATAAAGTTTTAGGGAAGTTTTTTTTTTTCTAAATTCTTCGATTTAGACATTTAGCAACTAAAATGCGTAATACAAATGTTCAAGGACAAACTAATTTAAATCAAATTGATGCAATGGTTAGTCTAAACTAATTGAATTTCTATTTTTATATTTCATTTTATTTTCTAGGATATGTTTGTTTTACTCGATTTAGTTGGACATCAAAGTGTACAATTTGGGAATTTTTATGATAGAACTACTGGAAAATATTATAATAGATTACGAAATATTGGTTAGTTATTTTAAAATAATTAACTATTATTTCTATATTATTTCTATAGAAACTCAACTTCTTCGTTCTTATACTAATAATAATGCACATAAACGAACAGTATTTTCATCCATGGTATATCCAGGTCAAATCGAGGATGATCACATACCATTTTTAAACCTAGGTAACTTGAAAAAAAGCAACACAAAATTTCTTTTCTTTTCTTTTGTTTTTTTTTATTAAAATATTTATTTTAGATGTTCCAATTCTTCATTTAATTTCTGTACCATTTCCACCAACATGGCATACAACTAACGATAATGAAGCAAATCTCGACTTTCCATCAATTACGCATATTCGAAATACAATGAAAATATTTGTTATTGAGTATCTTCATTTAGATCCACAAATGTGTTAATCTATTGATTTTTATTTTATTCATTATTTTGACAACGTATATTCTTCAATACAAACAAATAATGATACTCATGTTTGTTTGTGTATTTTTTTTCTGTGATTAACTCATTCGATATTTTTAGTTTTTTTTTATTTATACAATATATAAATAAAATAAAACTTTTTGAAATATTAACATCAACCAAGAAATGAAAAATTTAATCCACTAAAATTGAATGAATTCAATGGAAAAAAGTTTAATGGACCAATTTCAAATGTTATTGATGGAATAGTAAAATTAATTGGACAAAGTTTACATTCAAATTTACAACATGAATCATTTGAACTTTCTTCAAAACCACATAAACAAAAAGCAGGTTCAGTTATACATGCATTTGGTGAACATAATGTAGACTTAGCAGAACGATGAATTGGTGTTGGAAATGATAAAATATTTTCAATAGGAAAAAAAATAAAAACAATAAATAATAATACTAAACAATTCATATTGTGTTGATTTTGCTGTAGATGTTTATGACGTGTAGTAAAAAAAAAATATTATATATTCAGAAAGAAAACATCTGTTCGTATCCACAGAGGCTTATCTTCATCAATCATGTTATTGCTGACGATAAAAAATCAAAGTTTTACGTAGGATGATCAAGTCCTTAGAAGAATATAATTTAAAAATACCAATAAAAAGAGATACTTTGTATAAGAATGCGATTAATCAATATAACGAAAGTTCCATTCGAATGTTTGCTACAAATCGCTGTGGGTCAAGACAAACTAAATTCAACAGTCACGCTCATTTCTTTTTCCTGCCTCATTGTGTTATTCCGTTACTGCACAACATCCACCCCAACGGAGTAACGAGGTGAGGGCAGGGAAAAATAATGAGCATGGTTGTTGAATTTGGTTTGTCATAAGCCATAGCGATTCCGCCACGAGTTGTAGCAAGCTATGTTCCATTTTGATCATTTTAAAACAGAAAACAAACACAAATTACTTTAAATTAGTGAACTAGAAAATAATTATCTATCAACTAAACTAATATAAGTCTTTATTGGACGTTTGATTTACTAACATTCGATATTTATACGATTCATAGTTTTGAATATAATTTGAAGTGAACTTTTCGAAAATTATTCACATTTTTCATTCATGATTGGTTACGTTCAATAGTTTCAAGTAAAATTTTCTCTTTCATCGACCAAAAACATAATATTGTTCAGTAAATTAAAGCATGAATAATTAAAATTTTCTGATTCATGCTATCGAAAATATAATAAATTTCTTCCTTGTAATTTGATATACGTATTATTTTTATTGAAAAAAACAAAAATAGTAAGATAAGACTTTGTATTACTTTCGACCGAGAGGAAATAAATCGAGTGCACTGAAATTAAATGAACTCCAATCCATTGTAAGCCATGGTTTAACATTAAAATCAGGTGGGCATGGAGTGCAAGTAGCTGTGCAACAGCGATCATCTGGAGTTTGTGTTACGCCACAAAAACAGAATGACGTATCCACAATACATCCATATGGTGGACATGATGAATCAGCATTACGTCGAATTGGTGATGGTAATGATGAAATACAATTAAGAAAAACAAAAATTGATAGCAGTCCAACAAAAATCTTGTTCATTTTGAATGCACTGAATATTGATTAATAAAAAATGATAGAACTGATTTTAATATTTAAAAAAAAAAACTAATGATCAAACATCTGTTCGAATTCGCACAATTTTCCGTTTTCCTATTTGTTTTTTTTATCACCTATTAAGTATTATCAGAAAAGTCAAATGATCAATCCACTTAAATTTAAACTTCAATTAACAGATGATATCTACGAATTATATGGTTATATATTACATATATATGGATAATTATATCCATCATTAGGCATTAAAGTTAAGTCACAGATAGAATATTTTACATAATCAACACATCGTTTATTCTGATAAGAAGTCTCATCATTAATTTCCTGATGCATTGATTCTACGTTAATCAACAGACACAGCACAATTGTAAAAAAAATTATAAATAAAAAACGTTTGTATGATGTTCGATAAAATTTAGAAAAATGAAACACCAGATCAATACTATATCACCTATTCAGAATTTCAAGGACAGTTCTAAATGAAGTATCAAAACAGTATTAATCAATTATCAACGATAAGATGAAATAAAATGCTTGTGTTTGTACTTCTATATGCGTATTAAACATTCTAATTTCTCAACCAATCATGGGCAGTGCACTTACACTACACGACGTAACAACTGATTTCCCAAGTTTTCCATGTTTCTTATGTACAGTAATATAAAATTACTTATTCCAACATTCATATATTCAACATGTTGAGGATGAGAGTGAACAATTGTTACTACATCAGGCAACTTCTTTTTACATGCCGATCAAGACATGAGTACACTGATCAGTGAATGGAAGGAAATGACAAAAAAAAACTTGATTTTGTTGCTAAATTATACATTAATTTTCAGTGCGTTTAATGTAATGTTTGATGAGTTAATATTAAAGTTTTCTAGTTAAATATCATGCCTTTGAGAATATAAGTTCAAACGAAAAAAGTTTCTGCTGTCGAACCGACCATTGAACGGTTGGAATGATAGAAGACAAACGAAACGAATCTATTTTAAAGTTTATATTAAATTTGCGTCATTCATGCACGTCGTATCTTAGTTTTTCCATACATTTCATCCATAAGATATTATGTATTTATTTATGATTTCAATAAAGAAAAAACTAAGTCATTTCTATTTTTTGAAAAATAAAATTTTACACTTTGTCGATGTTAAAATTTTTTGCATTGTTTCAATTAACATGAATGATATATTTTCATTTGATTATTATTCTATTAAAGTTATACATTATTATATGAAGAATATCGAAGAAAAATAATCTTACTTGTTCATCTTTTTCATTATTTAAACAAAGTTTTTTTCGAAGTGAATCAATTACATGTTGTGAAAATTGTTGTCGATTTTCTTCAATAAATTTCAATACATAACGATCAGCATCAATAATTATGAAACGATGTTTAAATAATTCTATACGAGCACCAATATAAAAATCATTTGGCCCATAATAAATTGGTGCATCGGGATGACTATCTTTCAATATAGGAAAAAAAACAAGATTATGTAAAAAAAAATCAAAGAAAAAGAAACCTGGTTTAGGTATTCGAATACGTTCCAGAAATTTCCTTGTTAAACATCCATATCCATCAAGTGGTTTTTCATAAACAGAAATAAGATCATCAGCAAGACGATAAACAATAAGAAATTTTCGTTGAGCATCTCGTTCATTAACTGACTCCTAAATATAATCAATTATTAATATTTCTTGTCGATTTATTCTTACCATTATTGCTTCATAACGTAATACACGATTTTCATTTTCCATTAATTTAATTCGATCTTTTTTTATTGATTTTGGTATAAGATTTTTTACATTTTGTATTGTATCTTCTGGTTTACCAAACATAATATGTGGTGGTACAGGAGATAATTGAATAGATGGTTTAATATATCTTTTCGTATCAATATCAATTGGTGTAAAATCAAATTGACCAAAATTTTGATGATAAAAACTTTTTGTAAATATATCACAATCATATAGAAAAAACCTACGATTGAATATTGTAATATGACGACCAAGAGCAAAATCTTCTGGTTTTAAATAACATATTTTTTCTTGTTCACGTTTATTAATAAAAAGATTTACAAATGATTCTAATCAAGAAATACAAAATGTTTACTTTTAAAGGTACACCCTCGTTTTTTGGTCATTTCTGGTACTTGAAGAGGATACAATGGATCCGTATGACATTTTTATCACAGATAGAGCATCTAAAATAAGGAGATATGTGTTTGAGGGAAAAAGCTTTTAAACCAGATTTTCTTATCAAAACTCTGGTTTTCCATAGAATTACGTCAGATCTGCTTACGACTCTAAGTTTGTTCGATCGGACTGAAATTTTGACGACAAATACTTGGAAGTATTCTCCAAAAGTGAAATCGGTCGTTTTCATTCTTGACCTGCCAATCCGAATTTATAGAGCTTAGAACATCAGCATCCTTCTTGTGGATTCGAACCTTGACGTATTTCTATCATAAAAAAAAAAGAAAGCCAGATTTTTGAAAAAGTTTAAAGCCACCTCTGAAATATAGTCTAAGATATCTTCGGAAACATTTTAGCCCAATCGAGCAAAGTAAGACAAGAGTCGCAAGCAGGCCCAATGTAATCCTATGGAGAATCAGGATTTCCTAAGAAAACCTTTTTTAAATTTTTTTTTTCCTCGAATACATGTCTCATTATTTTAGATACTCTATTTGTGGTAAAAATTTCGTGTGGATCAATTGTACCTTCTTCAAAAATCAGAAATGGCCACAAAAAAGACGGAAAGGTATCCTTAAGAACATTATTGGTCTTTTTTTTATGATTTACTGATATTATATGTTGAATCTTTAGGTACAATTTGTCGATGAAGATAGATTCCTTTTGGATCATAACCATCATTAGCTTGATGAATTTCTCTTATTTCTATGGTATGATCAACTAAATAAAACTGAACAAAGACTATTTATTATAATGAAGATTTCTCTTGGAAATAAATATCAATTACATGAATAATAAATTTTCTTAAAATTTCACATTGCTCATCTTGATCATCAAGTATAGCATAAAATCGTAAAACTTTTCCATCCATAGTATTAAATTGTTTATTACCAATAAGCGATTGTTTTGTCAATAGATCTGGTAAAATATCTTTCAAATCACTATGACTAATTCGTTGTTTTTCGATATCATTTTTTTTCATTAATTTTAATGTATACGGATCTGATGGAATCAATTCAGGACATTGTAATTCAATACCTTCACTTTCAAGCCATTCCTATTACGATTAATTATTTTAAACATTAAAAAAAAAAAGAAAGAAATTATACTCTAGTAAATTGATCACAATCACATAACCGATAAATGGTCCCATAAATAGCTAAATTTTGTCCTAGATTCAAATCACGCCAATTATATGGTTCATTTTGATCATTTTTAGAAACTCGATGACGACGAACACGCAAACCCTTGATTAAAATAAACTATTATATTTTACAAAATAAATATCACATTAAATGATACTTGATTAAGTGCACTATTTTTATAAGGAATTTCATAAATAGCAATAGTATCATCTTCGAGATAATAATAAATAATAACTCGTCGTACACGATAATATTCAAGTGGACTTTCATAAACTGTTTGTTTAAAATAACCATAAAATCGTAGTACCTATGATCGATTGCTTTTGTAGTTTGTTGTTTTTTATTTTAAAAGAATCAATTTGAAATACTTTTTTATCATAAAAAACAGTAGCTGGTACAAATTTTCGAGGTTCTTGTACTTTTACTTTACCATAGATAAGTTCAGGTTGAAAATTAATCAATATTTGACGTTCATTTTCAGTTAATTGAATATTTGATTTGTATGTTTGACCGATATCAAATCGAGGTAAACGAATAATTCTATGACCATTTTTAAAAGATAATGTACGTGGAACTATAAAATTAGTACGCTAAAGTACAATATTACAATGTGTTGCTCTATTTATTTGTACTACATACTGTTACATCTGAAAAACGATTACCAGGTAATAATGGTAAGTCATTCATTTCATATTTATTAACTTCGAGATAACTGAAACTTTGTTGATTTTAGTCGATACGCGCCATTTTATTTATAATTAATATCATAAAAGAAAACTATTCCACTTTCATTCAATAAGGACATCAGGTTTTTTTTGTATATAATGCTTAAAAAAAACCTCGTGACATGAACAGTGACAATTTATCTAAACACTATGTGCAATATGATATATCATTAGAAAGATACAAAAAAAAAGAGATGGGCCTGACCGGGGATCGAACCCGGAACCTCTCGCACCCAAAGCGAGAATCATACCACTAGACCATCAGGCCACGTTACTTCTTTTTATGTATATGCTTTACTAGTCGACTATAGATATTTATCTTAGCCATAACAACACAAGAGAACACTAATAACTATCATCTATTTCTATCAACAAGCTAAGAAAATAAATTGAATATGAGATATTATTGTGTAGGAATATAGGCGTAAATAATATTTTATGAGAATATTTTTCTATTGACTTCTCATTAAAAAAAACCTATTTATAAATAAATATAGATATACAAATAATAAAATTATTAACGAATATCGACACAATGTTTTTCAGACTGAGAAAACAATATGTAAAAATGATTTTTTTCCAAAGGTATGATTCGAAAAATGTATTCATATCATTGAAAAAGTAAAAAACATGTTTTTCATAACAGAAATATATTTGCGTAATAGCCTACATTTTTTTTCAGTGATGTATTACAAACTTTCGACCCAATCTCTACAGCATGGATTTGTTGTTTTTGTCAATATTTATCCAAGTTTCACACGTAACCGTTTAGGCAATAAGAAAAAAACCTTATCTTCATATAATAAATTGAAATAAAACAACTGTTGCAAGATAATCATATAAAAAAGATCCTTTGTTATCAACTAGTTAACCTGAAAAGATATCTTCATCTATTCTTACTTAGTTATATTTAGTGCAGTCAACGATATGGATTATATTAATTTATATTTAGCTGCTAAAATAGAAATAAACTGTTGAATATTTCGATCCTATAATATATAAATAGAACATCGTTATTTAAATTCGTATGAGTTCTTCTAAACATTAAGTTTTTTTTTTAAATTCATGTTTAGTTGGAGTATTTAATTTTTAGACTTGTTCTACTTTTTTTGTTGTTGTTGTAGATCTTCTACTTCGTTCATTATATTTTTTTCTGTTATTTACACAGATATTCTAGAACGATGACAATAGATGCATAACTCATACATATATATAAAAAGACTTGAATAAACAAACATTGATAGAGACACTCTCTTCTTCTCTCCATAATTAATTCAGTCAAAACATACACTACACTATACAAAAAAAAATGAACGTATAAGAATTTTTCTGCTTGATATTTTCCATCGCTTTCGACAGTGTTCTCTTACCCGTGCACACGTATCTGCCATTTTTTGATCGTCATACAAAGAAAAAAAAGACATGACAAAAATAAGAACAATAGAAATATACACATATAGCAAATGAGGAAAAAAACTCCAAAAAATAATATAATATATATATATATAAATGAGGAAGTGCTAGTTTACAGGCAAAAGATATGTTCGCTAATGTACAGCACTATTTTCAAAAAGAAATAGAAATCGGGCTTGAAAAAGAAAAGAAATGAGAGCTAAGTCTAATCTAGCTTTGGCTTGGATTATCATGAAAAAACAAAAAAATCATTTGACTTTGACAATGCGCTGTTGATTACTAAATAAATCACGTTTGTCGAGTAATTGTGCATGTTGATCCATAACATATGAATCAAGATTTGAATCAGCAACATTTGCTGTAACACTTGTTGATGGTAATGAATAAAGCACCTTCCATTTACGTTTTTTATTCTGTTTAACACCAGATGATGGCTGAGACATATTTGGCGGCTTATTATTATCATTGTCATTTTGCGCTAATGGTCGTTTTATTTGTGGTGAAACTTTTGGTGATGGAATTAATGGTATAGGAGACCGCTGTTTAATGTTTACATCTTCGATGACGACAAAATCCGATTCATCTTGATCATCATCAACAACAATCCACGAATCACTCATTTGTTTTGGTAATGATTTGCAAGAACCATTGCCAGCAGCCATCGATCGATTTAAAAGATGAGTGAAAAGTTAAAGAAAGAGAGAGAGAATAAAGAATAATCTAAAAGACAAAAAAAAACTCAAGGAAGATACAACAACATATGTTATTTGCTTCTATTTTTATCATCTCGTGCTGTTTCTTGCCGTTGAAGTATCAAGATGTATTTTGCCCTTTCAATGCGCAAATACAACGACAATAACAAAACAACAACAACTTATTTTTAGACGATCTATGATTTTTTCCTCTGACTCGTACTTGAAAAAGAAACCGAATGGTTGTTTTCTCTTTACCCAAACAACTAAAGACAAACATTAAGAAAGCATACTTTTTTTTCTCAAAAAGAAAAAAAACAAACCTTCTATATAAACGACGAAGAAATAAATGAACACTCTGTAACAAATCAAAGAACAGTGACCATGACAACAGGACGTATATAGAGATTTTTTTCCGATTAATTAAGACGGACGATCTATATATATATATACTGATTTCTTTCTTTCTTTCTCTCTCTCTCTCCCTCTCTCTCTCTCTCTTTCTCTGTCACTTGGCCTAGACGAAAAGAAAAAAAAAGCGGGCGCTGAATCCAATATTTCATTGCTCGATACTTGCATACACTTTTGACAACTGCTGTGGTTGCTGTTGGTGGTGGCGAGACAACTATTCGGAAGGAAGAAAAAAACGAGAGAGAAAGCAAAATTGACGGGCAAGCATCTGTTCTGTCGTTATTCTGTGCACAAGCAGCCTCTTTTATACATGAGGATCGTATGGATGGGCACGTCTTGATCACGAGCGCCCATGACGTCATCATTAGCGGGCAAAGAGCAGGCACATATGCGCACTGACAACGCATGTAACTTCTATATGATTAAATGAGAAAAAGAAAGAAAGAAAAAGAGCTAAATATAAATGGACGAATCACTTTTTTTTTATTTCATAATGATGGAAAGAACGGAAAAGGAGAAAAAGATTAAAGTAGCACTACTGTTTCTCGTGTGAATAGTAATCCATGGCTTCTCGAGCACATTCGGGTCCAATGTTGAACAAAGGATGTGTATTGCGCTATAAGAAAAAAAAATTAAAAAAATAAAATAAAATTACTATATCTAGAATAATCTTATTTTTTATCTCTTACTAATTTATTTTCATGATCACCACATATAATTGATGTTTGATCTTGTCCATCATCTTGAAATAAACTGAGACCACTTAAACAGTAACATGTATGATAGAAATCACTACCACTAAATAAAAAATTTAACATTTACAAAACTAAAAAGAGCAAAATTAATGAAATTAATTCTTCACCCTGAATTAACTTTAGGTCGATCAGTAAATCCACCTATTTGATATACTTGACAACAAAGAAGAACATATTCTTGAGCAGCAACTAAAACAAAATTTTTTTTTTAATAAAAAAAATGAATTTTTTTTTATCAAAAAATTTTACTTGTATCAAAAAGGTGTTCATGATTTTTAACAATATCTAAAGTTTTAAATAAATTTATTTTATAGACAAAAAAACAAAACCTATCATAAAAACCTGAATTATCTCGTGTAGGTTTTTTTCGTTGAACAGCTTGAATAAGTGGTAAAAGTGCACCAACCCAAAATGAATAACATCCATCTACAAGTTTATTTGCACGACCTTGAAAACCACCTTCAAATGTCATTTGTCGATTAACAGTCCATCTCTATTTAAATAAACAAAAAAAAAATCAGATTTTTTTCAAACTATCAAATTTCCATTTTCATACAAGTAAACTTTCACGGTCACATAGTGATTCTCGATCAAGTAATAAAAGTGTTGCATAACCACAAAATGAATATCCACCATGTGCTTCAGCACCTGGACATGCACCAAAACCACCTTCATATGTTTGACAACTAAGGAAAAAAAAATCAAGTTAATTTATTAATTAAAATAAATTATTTTCATCAAACCTTGCTACCCATTCAGCAGTATCTTCAAAAAGTTCAGCTCGATCTTCTAATTGACATAAAGTAGCTACACTTGCAGCACAATATGTTGCACTAAAAAAAAATTAAAATAAAATATTTTTGAAACAAAAAAAAATTTATTTGATTATTTTCTTACCGAATATCTGATTCACCATTAACATGAAGGCTAAAACTTCCGTTCGATGGATTACGTATTGTTTCTAACCATGTCGATAACTTTTCCCTAGAAAATTTCAAATTAAAACTTGAGACAACAACAAAAAAAAAAAACGACGATTAAAACAAAATATACCGATTAAGAATTTTATAAGCTTTTTCACTTCTTAATAAACAAAGAGCATTAACAGCAGCATAAGTTGGAGCTAAATGAGCTATTTGACCAGGACCACCTAAAATGGAATAATTAATGTATACATTCAATTATTTCTTCATTAAACAATAGTAAATATTTATTTTAAAAGTTTACCATTTCTTATCTAATCGCTTATATCAGAGATAAAATTAGTTGAGGTTTTTCAAAGTTTAAATTGAAGATAATTTGAGATATTTTGAATCAAAACTAATTTCATCTCTGGCTTGTATGATAAGAAAGTATTTTTATTTTAAAAAATATACAAAGTATTCGGAAAGCTACCTACCAAAAAAGAAATTATACGTCTCAACTGCAGTTAAACCTAACTAAGTAGTATTTTTTTGAGAAGATTTGGTAGTTTTTATTCGTAAAGTTAGAGTTTATAAAATACTTCTGAAAATTATAACTGTTGAATTCAATACATATGAAATTTCTATTATCGAATTTCAAAAAAAAAATAAAACGTAGTTTCATATTGAATTGTTTAGATTTTTTTCGTTATTCTAAACTTTTTGCAACCTCGATGTCTTTCTTTTACTTTATAAATATTTACATGACTCTTAAGTTAATAAATACGTTTCTTCAAAATGATTCATTCGTTACTTATCAAAAGCTTAGATAAGAAGTCAGCTGATGAAACTGACATGATGTTATGGTTTTCGTAATCAACAAATTTAAGACTAATATCTCTGATTTTTCAAAAAAGTGTCATCCAAATATTTATAAAGTGAGAGAAAGATATCGGGATGACAAAAAAAGCCTAGAAAAACGAAAAAAAACAAGCAATTGCGCAGAAAAGCCTGTCTTTTGTTTTTCGAAATTTGATAAAAAGGATTTTTTAAAAATATATTGGATTCAAAAGTTATAATTTTCAAGAATATTTATAAGCTCTAACTTGATCTCCTGAAAAAAAAAGGTCACTCAATTTGGTTTAATCATATTTTTTTTATACGTGACACTTTAGACACTTATATATTTCTTTTCATACCTCCAAAGCCACCATTTGGATGTTGACATCGTTGTAAAAAGTCACAAATACTAAAAGAAAAAACGACAGAACAATTCAACTCAATATTTTCTTAATTGTATTTCAAATGAAAATTACTCATTAATATACGCCTCAGATAATTGTTCATCCAATAAATATAAAGATTGAATAATCCAATAGATAAGCCATGGTCGACTAGCATCAAGTGACTAATGAAGAAAATATAGGATGAATTGTTTTCTTTTTTAATTAAATTTAAATACTTCATGAGTACGTGGCACATGGCGAAGACCTTTAAGCAAAAATGTAATATGTTTATCTCGATAGAGAGCAGGACCTCTGAAAAATAAAAAAAGATTAATTCTTTTTGTTTAAATAATATTCATGCTTTTACTTTAATCCAAAATTGGATTGTTGCTTAAGAAAATCTTGAAAAAATTTTTCAACAGCCTGTTCACAATCAGCTTGATCTATATTTGTTAATGTATCCCTATTTCGAGTTCTATATGTATCAAGAAAAAATTGTTTTTGATCGATTCGAAAAGACATATCTAAAATATACATGTATTAGACAAATTTAAAAAAAAACGAGGGAAATCAGATTTATTGAGGTAATGCTTGTTTAAATGATTTAACTAAGTATAAATATAAGTAGAAGGAAAAAAGAAAAGAAACGCATATGAAAACTACTATTTTAGTCATTTTTTGAACAGACCTTAAGTCCTTTTTGTACTTGTGGTCGATCTCCAATTAATTTTAACCATTTTTCAATATTTGGATAAGCATTTTCATCTAATTTATCTTTATAATTTTTTATAAAAAATTGTACCCATGGAAATATAGCCATATCAGCTATTGTATAATCATTACCACTAGTAAATGAATTTGTTGTAGCTAATTGTGTATCAAGTACTTTTAATAAACGTTTAGCTTCATCTAAATAACGTTTTTTAGCATAAGCGATATCTTCTTTAGCTGCTCTATGAAAATGATTAGCTTGTCCAAACATAGGTCCAACACCACTCATTTGCCACATAAGCCATTCAATTGTTTCATATCGTTGACGTGTACCAATAGGTGCAAGAAATTTACCTGTCTTATCAGCAAGATAAATTAAAATTGCACCGCTTTCAAATATAGTTATGGGTTGTTTATCATTACCAATAGGTTGACGATCAACAAGAACAGGAATTTTAGAATTTGGATTTATTTTTTTAAACCAATCCTCTAATAAATTAGTTTATTTTGTTTGATATTCAAATTTAAAACAAATTTTCTTTTCTTTTACCGTATTGAATATCTTGACTTATATCAATTAAATGTGCATCATATTCAAGTCCGAATTCTTCAAGTGCAATACCTATTTTTTGTCCATTTGGTGTAGCTAATGAATATAATTGAATAGGTTTATCACCTATTTGTGGAATTTTTGTTGTTGTTGCTGCTGTCATCGTCATAAAATGTCGACTTACTGTTCGACAAAAACCAACTAATAATAATCTATACATAAATATGTAAAGGAAAAAAAAATTAAAATATTTTTTCTTTATTCATATTTTAAAATCAAAGGATCAAATTTTTTTTTAAATTCATCAAAAGTTGTTACAGGTAATTGACATTGAAAATTTTTACAAAGAAAAATTCTTGTCTTTTCATTATTTTCATCAATAAAAGATTTTAATTGTTTATTATATTGAAGAAGTTTATGATTAGTTTTATTCATATGAATTAATATTATATTTGGCACATATGATACTTGAATATATTGAATAATACGTTGAATTTCTGCTTGATTAGATGATTGAATTATAATTTCATTCATACCATGAGTATATATATCAAAGCAACGAATCAATGTTGGCATTGTCATTGGTAATTTATTTAATTGACGAGCATAAGATTTAAATATCAAACGAAGACGATCATCTAAAGATGAATCATCAAAATAATGTCTAAGACGAAGTAGATTAAGTGCAGATATTCCATTTGGTGATGGTTCAGCTCCATCATGATCTAAACAAAGAAAAAAACCCAATTAAGATTTATTTTAAAAAGAAAAGAAACATTTTTCTTATATTAGTACCTTCAGAAAGTCGTAAAATAATTGTAGAATCTTTACCATCTGTACTTAAATATCTATTTTTACTTGCATCCCAAAAATATTCATCTTGTTGTTTTTGTAATTCATAAGCAAATACCAATAGTTCATCATCAAGATTTGCTTCATACAAATCAATACAAGCTTGTATTATCAAAGCATAATCATCCAAAAATCCATTTACTTTTGATTCTCTATAAGAGTAAAATAAAGTTTTATAAAGATTATAATCATTAGTTTCATCTTCTTGATGACCTCTTCTCTTTTTTTTTCCCTATATGATACGAGATTGATTATCGAATAATAATTGATAAAATGATATCCATCTGTCTGTTAATTTTTTTCTCATTGATCATAATCTGTACGCGTTCACCTTTCCTTATTTTTCTATTTCATCAATAAGTCAATTGATAATCATTTCTATGTGGTGAATAATAATACTCGAGAAGTGAATAGAAAACGCTAATGGTCTGATCTTCGTTTTTTGAGAAAATTTGAACTAAACAACGTGTACATTTGATGAAAAAAACGAAAATGATATTTTCTACGATTTAAATAATATTAAATATATTTTATTCAATGACTGACTTTTTGGAAAAAAATAAATCGGTCTAATTCTTTACGACATTACAAAAATATGAAGTCCAAAAATAATAAAAGTTTTGTTCTAACATCTTCTTCTCCATTGAAAAAAGTAAACATTTTTTCTTAGATAAGGATTTTTCAAAAAGATGTATTCTGTGTAGTGGATTTACATACTTTAGTACAGCTGCTAACTAGACAAAACTTTCACGAAATGTTTTCTTTTAAAGAAAACTGATGATATATTCGAAATTAGCACAAAAAACTGCATTGAATGATATATAGTTTGTTAGTTTTGCAAGTGAAAATGTTTTAAATCTATAGAAACAAAATACAATTTCCACAGAAAATAAGTCATATCCACGTGCTCTATAGAAATTGCTCATTGTGCCCGCCTACCAGGGATGTTTTTGGACATTTACAGTGCCTCATTACTGTTTTGTGATGGTAGGAGGCATCCATGGGCTGTCAGTAGCTATTCAGTCGTGCTTTTGATTTAGCCACTCATTAGCAGGACATGAAATCTAACTGGCTAACGCATAAAGATGAAAATAATGCTCTTTGATGCACAGAATGTGAAGTCTCAAACAAATTCACATTCAGTTGCCTGATGTTTCATAATGTGTACAATCGAAACCAAATCTGCAAGACTTGGAAATTCTATTTTTACTATTAACTTCGACTCTAAAACGTCACAGCAACCAAGCAAGAAGCTCATCGGGAATACATTCTTTTTAAAAAACTTTCTTTATTTGTTTGTACTTTTGTCTTGTATCCAATACTAAAAGGTAAGGGTATACTTGATATATGTCCACTGTGCATTAAACTTTGATGAAAGATTTTATTTTACATATAAACGTACCGATTGATCTTTTTCTTTTTTTTCTCAGAAATGTGTAGTGAAGCATTAGCTTCTAAGTATTTAGGATATATTGAAACTTTGTAATAGTTGGTCTTGTATAAAAATCAAATTATTTAATATCAATATATAACTGGTAGTATCATTTTTAAACTTTAGAAAAATTAATTATTTTCATTCATAAAGACTCTTACGTATATTCAATTTGATTTGTCTTTTGATTAATATAACATGCACGTAAAAGTCGTTTTGTTGATGAATCAATAAGATGAGTACGAACGAAAGCAATAGCTTGTTCAGCAAGTTGAATATAATTAGAATCCTGAAGTACACAAGCAGCACGAGCTAAACCACTTATCATAAGACCATTCCATGAAGCAAGAAATTTTTCATCACGATGTGGTCGTGGTCGATTTTCATTACGATAAGCAAGAAGAATTTCATGACATTTAGCTAAGATTTCTTTTACTTCAGTAATATTTTCAAGTTTAAATTTCTCCATAATAGTTTGAAGATTACCATTAGTAATTAGAACATTTTGATTTTTTAATTCGTCATGAGGATCCTTCAAAATTAAAATTAAAGATAGAATAACATAAATTTTTATCTTACTTGTATCGGATCAACATTGCCATTTTTCTTACATTGATAATACGAACAAAAAATATCAGCATGTTTTTCAGGTAAAAGTTTATGTACTTCATCATAATTCCAAACATAAAATGCTCCTAAATACAAAAAAAAAACTCTGCTAACACAATCCCTGCAAGATTAAAATTTGAAACACTATTTAGTTGCTATTGCTAATCACAAGAAGATGGTTTTATTCTGTATCTGTTCGGATACGTTTCTTCACCTACTTTTTACTTAATCCTACAGAAATACAATCAGAAAAGAGTTATTATATTGTAACAAGCCATTATTGATAAACGATCTGTAGGATGGGTGAGGGGACGCAAATTTCTACCCTATATACTTCTTTTAGATCGTGTTTCACAAAAATATATCTTTATTTAATGTTCGTTTATTATTAAATATTTCTAACCTTCTTTTTTTTTCGTATCATTTTTCGTCGGTAATGAATCAGCATCTTCAGCACAATAAAAACCTCCATGTTTACTATGACGTAAATCACGTTCAACATATGAAATTAGATCTCGTAATGTTTGACCAATAAGTTCATCTTTGGTAATCTTTAATAAGAAAACAAAAAATGATTATGTCATTTATTCATAGAAAAAATTTTTTTTTTCTTACAGCATATGTATCAGCTAATGATACAGCTAGTTGTCCTTGATCATAAAGCATTTTTTCAAAATGAGGTACATGCCATCTATCATCTGTTGAATATCTATGAAAACCTTTACCTAATTGATCATTAATACCACCTAGATAGAGAAATTTAACAGATTTATATTTAGTAAATAAATATAATTAATAACCTAAAGACATTTTCTTTAATGTCATTTGAGTCATATCAATAGATAATCGAGCAGCATCTGGTTTTCCTTTTGCTTGATTACTTAACGCAGCATATGTTAATAAAAAGTTAAAATTTACTATAAAAAATGTTGATTAAAAAAAAAACAAGAAAAATTTTCAACAACAAAAAAGATTCCTATTAAACAAACCCGGTTGAGGAAATTTTGGATGTGTACCAAAACCACCATTATTATCATCAAAATCATTAGCAAAATAAGCAAAACATGCTTGTATACTTGTATTTGTCGGTAAATTAGGATCATTTTCTGTACTAGCTGCTTGTTTTTCTATAGCATTTGTCAATTGTTGTATTGCATCTTTACTTCCATCAATAATTTCATTTGATTTTGTTGACCATGCTAATTGTAAATTCAGTAAAATTTCTTTAAAACCAGGACGACCATATCGATGTTGACTAGTTGGTGGAAAATATGTACCAACATAAAATGGTTGTAATTGTGGAGTGAGCCAAACTGATAATGGCCAACCGCCACCACCTTGTGTTGCCTAAAAAAAAACAAAAAATAC